CAAGAACAAAATGAATTTTATCATCAATATCAGATTCTGAGAAAGTGTTCCAAGTTGCAGTCTCATTGCAAAGTTCCAGGTCTTGTTTTAAAATAGCTAATTCTGCCTCTCTGATTATATCAAATGATTTACAGTTAAATAAAAAATGACGAATATCTGTACATAATCCTCCAACCAGTTAAATTTGGAAAGAATTATATTTTGTCTGGTCTTGCATCAGTGATAATGCATATTATAAACAGTTCATTATAAATTAATTGTGAATCATTGCTATGACAGGCTAAACCTAGATTTTCACATGAATTTGAGACATACGGTAATTATGCACAACAGCTTATTAAAATATATAAATGTTGGTAGTATTAATTTACTGTTATATTATTACTGTTAATGCTGTATATTTTTTTATTTGTATGATTTTAGAAATGAAATATTATAAGCCAAACTATTTACCATGTTAGGTTGCTTTTTGATAATGAATTAGATTTTGACATAATATATTTTAAGAATGATTGATTGTGAAAAATGTTATGTTGAGCTTCTGTAATTTTAAAGAGAGTGTTATTAGTTTGATTGACAACTTACATTATCATCAATAACACCTCTATTCTTGCTGTGATACTTATGACCAGTGGCCCCGGGAGGCCAGGGAAACTGGAGCAAATGCCCCGGGGCAGGGGCCCGGGATAACTAGGTAAAAAATAATGAAATAAAATAAATGAATAAAAATCATTTAACGTATACATTCATCCAGTATCATTCATATGTTTTTCTCACGAGAATTTTAAATAAATAATTCTTTTTCATTAATAATTTCATGACTTCTACTACTCTAGAGCTTATGTTTACAATGTATCAAATAGTAAATTCTTTATGTTATTAATTAATAACTATCAAATGCTTGGACCTTGAACTTCTTCAATATATATACAAGTTAGAAAATACGAATAGACCTGATAGAGATTCGATTGTCAAATAAATACTGAATTAATTTATTAAACCAGTGGCGGATTAATGGGAGCACGGCCCCCACCCACTAATTTTTTTTTTTAATTTAACAAAAATTGAGAAAAAAAGAAAATTTTATATATATATGGTTATGATGTGATGTCATTATGAAAATATTTAGCATGTCATATTTTTGTCAAATAAAATTTGATAAAATGTATTTGTAATAAAGCTAAATTTAGATTGAATGTACACAATTGATACCGTATGTATTCTTCAGTAAAGTGTTTGCAAATGTGCTGAATTCCTTTGAGGATATTGCTTAAACTACCATATCACTGAAGTGCTAATGGTACGTTCATCATCAACAACATAATCTTCCCAAGGCGAACATATCAAAGCTTTGTTTCGGGGTTTTAAACACTTGCTTGCCTCATGTTCATGTTTTGACTACTTGTAATAGGCCTGCTGTATGCCCAATGTGTTTAATGAAATGAACTTTATGATACATACAATTCTGGCTACTATCTTTTTTTGTAATTTTTTTTTTTCTGTGGTTTTCTTCAATGTATTTATATTAATTATAACCATGCTAATAGCAATAAATTGCCATTTAAGGATGAATGTTAAAAAATATACTGCAGATATTAAAAAAAACTCACAAACACTAAAAATTAAAATGTATAAATAAAACTACCCCAGACACAACTTGCATACTACTTAAAAAATTAGAGTGGGACAACTACTAAAAATATATCAATTGCTATGATTAGAAATAAAGAGATACTGTACGAAGACATTAAAAGAAAAAACCTTGTTTTCTAACACAACCAAAGGGGACATCAAATATATTCATTATCAACACTGTGGGAAATAAAATGTGAATGAAGGAATTTACAGGATGTAAAATTATTGTACTTCTATTTTCAGTTCGTACATCCAGAAACATTGTTCGCTGTGTAGAGGAGCATTATGATAGCATTGGGAAACCAGGCTACAGGATAGGAAATGCCATGTAAGTAGTACTTCTACCACAAATACAAACTACAGCAATCACTCAGTGGCGGCGCCAGCTGGGGGACGAGGTGCTTAAGTCCCCCTACCGGACAGGTCAACCTCTTCTGTCGAACAGAGCTTGTTGGGCAGTCAGACCATAAAACATATAAAAAATAGGCCCACACCAAGCCAACACATATCTGTCACAGTCTGAGAGTGCCATTTCCGGCCATCCAGAGGTTGCTATTCTTAAAAAAAATCTCATTTGGGAGAGGGAACCCCCTTTCAACCCCTTTCCCCAGCTTGGGCCTACAAGCTCAAGTCCCCCCTGTTGGACAGCTTAGCCCACCCAGAAAATATATCTAGAGCCGCCACTACAGTCACTCATAGAGTGTCCACTACCACACTGTATTTGCCCCGATATCATCATCATAATTTAATGTTAATTGTACCGTATGTATTCTTAAGCCTTCTGGTCTCCAATAGAGCCAAAATAAACTTCATGGGGTCATGAGGTTAATAGTTAACGAAGGTGCTGATTATGAGGGATGTCTACATCCCCAAAAGGTACCTGAGATTCCAGTACAGTGGCCAGTGGCAACAGAGTGAATTACAGTCAAGGCAGTTTGGTATGAATTAAACACGACGATGAGCAGCTCTACCAAGAGATGGATACGTGCGCCTAATAAGATGACATTATTATTATTATTATTATTATTACGACCCCAAGTTTCACCTTTCAACCTAACAGAATATTTTTTTTTAATTGAATGATGGAGAATATTTTACTAGTACAGTATAATGCAAATAATCTAGATTTTTTAAGTTTATTTTTATGTTCCCAAAATCGTACTTTGTACTGAAATTTAGTTTTGTAAATACAAAATGAAATATATTAGTATAAGTATGGGTCAATGCAAATGATAAATTTTAAAAGATATAAATGTCAAACATATAGAAGAGAAATCTGACCAATAATAAAAACAATATATTTTCTTTTGAAAAAATTCCTTGTAAACAGCACTTTATTTTAATGGGCCTATTTTCCAAAATTTTTTATGATTAGTTTGATATACAGTACAAGGGAAAACCTGCTGGGAAAAAACAAACAACAAAAGTGCAAAATAGGAGTTAGTTTGGGTCGAGTTTACTTGAGGAAAGATCAGGGGCGGACTTAGAGTGGGGCTGGGCCAGCCCCGGCCCCTCTCCCTGCCTTTTTGGAAAGAAAAAATAAGAAAGAAATGAAGAAAAAAATTGATCACCGAAAATGCCTCAGATTTATTTTCAGGCGCCTAGGAAACAAATATTTCGCGGTGGAATGCCCCTGGACCCCCTATGGTGGTGTTATTTTGATTGGCCCCACTTTCAGACATCTCTGGATCCGCCCCTGAGGATCACGAGGTTCGGGGAATAATATTCAATGGAAAAATTGTATGGAAAATTACATTCTAGAAAATGTATTCAAACATTCAAAAGATGAGCTTAATGAAAGCAAGGTGTTTATTATTACACACCTTTGTAGTGTCATTATTATTGATCGCCCAATGCCCAGGATTCATAATCTTACAGAGGCTTTGTTTATATATTTTTTGCATTGTGAAATGTTTATGTCATTTTTATAACATTAATTCTGCTGTACAATGTGGCCAAAACAAGCCAAACCAGTCACTCCTCGTAAATCATGTTTAATGGCCAAAGCATGTTGGAATATCAAAATGTTCATAATCTTTTTGCTAAAAACTGACTTACTACATCATGCTATGTAGTTATTTTCCCCATATTCAATAATAAAACAAAACGTTTCAACGATTTGGTGATGGTCTGTACATGAGAAATCGCTGAAATCATAAACTTTGTAAGATGATTTCAACAGCTGTACGTTTAAACTTTATAGCAAATTGTCGGATTTAAATTATTTTTTTATAACTTTTACTGTTTAATCCTGTATTAATAAATAATATAAAAAGTTATTTTTTGTGAGGAGTGACTTGTTTGGCTTTTCTTTGCCACAACATATGCAGACATATAATAATAGATAGAGCTGTGTTAGTCTGGTGAACTACAAGCACTGGTAGCACTTTAATACCCCATTCAGACTAGCATCGCATTGCAATCGGTTGTAGCAATTGCGACACCCAATCGCACCCAATCGCAAAGTAAAATCGTGTGTGAAAGCTCACCAATAGTAGTCGATATGTAATCGATATTGTTACCCGTTGCGATTGGGTGCTACAATCTTTATTACTCCCGATTACCACGGAATCTGATCACAACGAATTCCACAGGCACTGTTTGGCTGAGGTCAGGCAACATAGCCTAGACACCGGAGGCCTAGGCCCTAGAATGTAAAGTGTGTTTGTGTTCGTCTGAATGCGTTCGTTGATTGCGATCGGGAGTAATCAGTTTTGGATTACCACCGATTACATCGCAACCGATCGCAAGAGAGTGTAGTCTGAATAGGGTATTAGACTAACTTCAATTATTTATTACACAAGCTTTTGCCACCAGTCTATGCTGGCTTCATCAAGTGTACAGTATGGCGAAAAAAAATCTTTCCAAGTATTTGAATATTTGTTTGCTGTTTTAATATGAAGTCACACTACAGTATATACTTGGATTTGAATGTCAAATCCTTTTCCCAATAGAAATGAAGTAAAGCCAATTTAAAAAGATTCAAGAATTGAGCAAACAACCTATAAATGCTGGTCATTATTTTCTCAAGTCAATGTGGTCATTTCCCTATTATTACATCCTGGGTATGCATTAATCATCTAGAAGTTTTTAATTGGTAGTTTCTATGTTCTATTTTTATTATTATTTTTTTTCAACACCATAGTCAGGACCCTAAAGCTAATCTAACATATTGTTCAAATGAATAAATATTTAAAAGTATAATAAATTATATGTGATGTTAGGGGGAAGTATCACTGGCAATAACCTAAGTGGCCATGGCCAGACTTTGCTCAGAATCCCCGGAACGGAAACTGACAATTTAGGGGTATTGAAGGCTTATTTAATCAATTTTAAAGTCTACTAATATGTCAAAAATACATATTTCTAATTCTTCTCAGTGATTAATGTTTTTTCCCCAACAGGGGCCAGCTCCCTAACAGAGGGCCCTGGAAGAAAATCTTCTGTTATTTCTTCAGTATCAGAACATTAAATTCAAACTCTAAAAGCACTACTGTAGTTTTTCTTTCCAGAAACCTAGTACAAATGACACATCATTGTAAAGCCTTTAGGATTATCAGTCTTGTAGACATTAAAATACTCATGGGGTAGGCCTACATTAAGCCTGTGATTTACGGCCTTTCTTAGTCTCACTACATTTCCTTTCACAGTCTCGCTGCCTCCATGTAAAATGAGCTATTTTCAAGTTAAATAAAATGTTATTAATTTCAGTGGTTGTGATGATTTTCTACCAATACTAAGTTATATTGTGGTCAAGACAGCTAGCCCTCAGATAGTATCAGAGTGCTCTGCGATGGAGGAGTTCATTCATGAAGGGTAAGATTTATATATTTATTTACTTTATTATTTATTAAAATATGGTATTATAATATTTTCTTTACAACAGTAAATATATCATTATTATTATTTTCCTAACATAGAATAAACTCCAAATAATGAGAAATCATAATTCTTAATTTACCAAAATCCAAATATTTAAATAGGGAGGCCACATTAAATTCAAACTCTAAAAGCACTACTGTAGTTTTTCTTTCCAGAAACCTAGTACAAATGACACATCATTGTAAAGCCTTTAAAGGATTATCAGTCTTGTAGACATTAAAATACTCATGGGGTAAGCCTACATTAAGCCTGTGATTTACGGCCTTTCTTAGTCTCACTACATTTATTTACTTTATTATTTATTAAAATATGGTATTATAATATTTTCTTTACAACAGTAAATATATAATTATTATTATTTTCCTAACATAGAATAAACTCCAAATAATGAGAAATCATAATTCTTAATTTACCAAAATCCAAATATTTAAATAGGGATGCCACTATTCTGAACATTTCAACCCTTTGATTTCATTCATTTGATATCTCCAACAAGTGCAAATAAATGAATATAACACACAAAATTTAAAAAAAAACAGTTTGAAAATATTAGGCATAAAGTCCCTGCAAATTTGACTTACTTACAGAGGGATCCCATGGTCTCCTTCACTGGATCATCTTCATCGACCCAGTAAATATTGAAATTTTTTTGGCCTGTCTATTTGGAGTTTTGTTGATTCAGTGATATTCAAACATAATCAGCGCAGCTGCTGAGTTTTAGGTTTTACCTTTTTTCATATTTTGTTTTTCAACACAAAACATTTTGTTTAATTAAATTATGTGATATTATGACAAGTGATTTTAATGTTACTTTTAAGAAGTTGTAAATAGCAAAATTATGTTACATTCATTGTTAATATTTATGAATAATTAAAACGATAAAAATGATGAGAGAACTCAGCTCTTTGAAATTTATAACCTTTACTTTAATTTGTTTTGTATTATCTGTTATTTTCTTTCTTCAGGTATTTGTTTGGAGAAGAAGGGTACTGCTTAACAAGTTTACAAACTGCATTAGGCTATGTGCTACGATCGCTGGTCACCATGTAACATGTACCAAATCCATCGAGGATAATATGAAGGTGACAATAGCATGGAGAGGTTTTAAATTACCTGATGCACTGTAGTGTCACACTGGTAAATTAATTAAATTCTAAATGAATTTACGATACTACTGGTCTTTCTCATTACAATGCAAAGCCTAGAAGAATTCAGGTGTAACACAGGTTTGCACTGAAGGTTTTTCCCATTCATGCTTGACCAAAAGAAATGCAGGATGATCTTGAGTAACACCCATTTACACTGACAGATGTTGCATAACAAAGACCTCCGGTTGGCGGTGACAGTGTAACCCCTTAATTTGGTTTGGGTGCTAGCTTAGTAAAACCATGTATTATTATTTTGATATACACTGGCCTCTGACATATTTTGCTGGAATTTTATATGACCTTTGCTGTTTCAATAAAATTGAAAACAAAACTTAGGTCCAAGTTATATATATATTTCCATATTGTCCACATTTTCAATTTTATTTCTAGAGATGGGAATTATTAATATGAATTTAATTAATTGTTTTAAGATTAAAGCATTAATTTTTTGCTTGATGAAAATGAATTTGGTTCTTGTTAATTAGATTAAACATCATTTTTTTCAAATACTGTATATACTATTGTGAACTTTATTCTGTTATTAATTTATTTGGTTGCAGAATATAATTGAAATTTGTGTTTATGAAAGTGTTTCTTATAGTACACTTCTAAAATTAGTAAAATAAACTATTTTTTTAATAAAATAAAAGAGCCTACATGAGTACAAAGTATAAAAACAACAAACCATATAATTTTCCTTTTTTTATGTTATTTTGACAATACATACAAAAACACCAATTATATTTATCCAGCATTATTTATTTATTTATTTTTTTTTATTTATTGGCTGTCACTTGCAAGCAAGTGGTAAAGAAAATTTAAAAACAAACAATCAGACTAGACAGGCTATCACAATCTTTTTTAGAAAGTTAAAAAAATTAATTAGTAATTATTTGAAAAGAGTAGAGATATATATTATATTTTAATAGAGTAGAATAAATATATAAGACCTTCTTAATATATTGATAGTGAATGTTCTCCAAATTCAATGGAATAATTATGATGTAATAAGAGTGTAATTCATACCTGTCAACCTTTAGAGATTTCAAAGAGTAAGATCGGGCGACACATAATTAGTGCCGAAGGCACGAACAATGGCTGCAGGCCAGGAGCCGCCAAGGGCCCCCGGTAAGGGTCCAGCGGTCGAAGGCCCCTGGAGGCTTTGCTTAAATTGCATATCTAATCGATATTAGTGAGTTTATACTGATCTCAGATACAGTAGTTATTGAAAGATAGTTTAAGATAATGAAAGGCCTCTTCCCTTTTTATGAAAATTCATTACAAATTGAAAAGAAACAAAATTTACTCATATTTTAGGATAAGCGTAAGTTTTGCTGGTGTTTGCATAAGACCGTAAGATTTGATTGGAATGCCTAAGACTTATGGCGAGTGCGTACAGGTTGACAGGTCTGGTAATGATTTTAAATCTTAAACCTTGTCCAGTCTTATCAAATTTTATGACAAAAACATGACCATATATAGGCACATTATGAGTATATATGGGAATACAACAAATTTGATAGTGTGTACATTTCAGTTGCTTACTTTGTATGAACATAAATTCAATCAAATAATTTCATGAATATTTACCATTCTTGCAAAGACCCTTTAAAGATGTATGTGTAAAAAAAAAATCTCAACAAATTATTTTTAAATTAACTTGCTAATTCCAGTCACTTGAAGTTGTTGCTATAATATTTTATCATTATCCAGTGTAAAAGTTTGATTTCTATACTCAATAATTTGTATTACTGCAAAATAAGCAAGTTAATTTCAACGTTATAATATCAATTTTTTTTTTAGCATTTTCAGGGGATAATACATTTTTAAATGTATCAGTAATCAATTTTTAATTTTTTTATAGTAAACTCAATATTTTAAATGAGAAATTAAATGTTATGATTGAGTTCTGTGCAAATATAAATAAAAGTCAATTAAAATACTATTTTATTCTATCAAATAAAGGTAATTTCCTAATCCAGATGGATCAGTGTTTCTGTCCTTTTTGTTTCTGTCATCCTTCTGTTTTTCACTTTGTTGTTAGTTGTTTTAATAGAGAAAATTAATGAATGAAACTAATCTTTGACTAATTTAGCATTCAATCTTTGGTCAGCTGAACCAAGGACTTTTAACTGTTACCAGGATAGGCTGGCTGGTTTAAGCTCTCTAACTTGAATTAGCCTTATGTGTGGTATTGTTATGCTAATGAGGCAGATAAGCGCAATCTGCACATGCTCAGAAAACCAAAACTTTCCTTAGCCACACCATGGCCACACTACGCATCGGCTAGGCGTACAGCTAGGCCTAACCGAGAATTACGGTACGGTAAAACAAAGCAAAATAAGGGTATTAATATCACTTGGCATGCAAGTCAATCATACTTACACACTTAAAAACAATGTAATCTACAATGAACATCGTATAGGCTAGCCTAGGCCCAGCCTAGGCAGGGGTGTCGCCAGAGGGGTAGGGGGTGGGGGCTGGTGGCTATATCCCCTAGCCCCCCCCCCCCCGTCGGGGAATACGAATACATTCCGTCGGAGAATAAAAAAAAAATTTAAAAATATTTTTACATGTCTTCGTTTAGCAACCATATCGCCTTCATTGACCTATTTGTGTACCGTTTGTGTTAACTTTTCATCACTATAATAACAAAAACAACAATAATAATAATTATAATAATAATAACATAAATTCACGTGCCGTTTTATTGTAAGTCACTTTATCCGACTACCGTATATTACTTTGAATTAAGCCCATGAAACAACATTATATTCATTCTTCTTTACAATGAATTAATTACGTTTAAAGATCTATCGGAACGCAAGTCAGCCGAAAAGTGCCAAGTGTCAAAACAGCGTTTTGACACTATTTTTTAAAATGTCAGTGCATATTAATGTTAAGTATTGAAATAAAAAAATACAAGTGCCCCTCCCCCAGTTTGAATAATTCTGGACCCGCCCCTGTTCAATGGGACTAATTAAAAATGGTTTACGTTCTACTATGACAAATGCTCGTTTGGATATCCCCATGATGCTTGGATACATCTTGATCGGGGAGCAACCTCGTGGTTTACAGATTTCAGTCAAAATTTATAACTTCACTTTGAATTATAAGCTTGTACTGTGACGTTCCCGGTGACATTGTGTTTTCTTAATTCATCGTAGTATAATATTGTCACAAATTGTTGGCCTTACAATTTACAGTAAGACATTATTCCTGGCGCCATCACTGGGCCAAGGCCGTGTCTTATAACTGCTTATAAAAATGCAGAAAAAATACCCAAAACTAATTAGAATGAAGTTATCAACTAACTTGTGCATTAAAATTATTCATATACTTACTACTTACCTATATAAAATTAAAATGTATTGCTCACTAACGCCAATATTTTTATTTTAATACCGTACGCTTTTTCCACGAATCAGTAGACATCTTGAAGGGATGACAAACAGCCTAAGTCAGTGCGTAACAAAAAAAAAAGAAAGCTAGGCGTAGCTGTTGTTGCCTAGCCGATACGCAGTGTGGCCTAAGGCTATGTTCTCACACGGCTGCTAACGGTTAGCAGGATCCGGATCCTGTTAACCGTTAGCTGCCGTGCGTCCATACGAGAAAATCCCGATCCGGATACCAAAAATATTTTCACTGATTTTGGTTTTCTGAGCATGTGCAGATTGTGCTTATCTGGCTCATTAGCATAACAATACCACACATAAGGCTAATTCAAGTTAGACGGCTTAAACCAGCCAGCTTCCTATCCTGGTAACACTTAAAAGTCCTTGGCTGATTACCGTATACCATGGAGGTATTATACCTCCATGATTATACAAAGATGATGATGAGAGGGCACAATGGGAGTACACAGGCATTGATGTACTCACAAGTATATGTGATACTTGATTATACACAAGTAACATAATGAAGATAGTCAGCACAGTTTAGATTTAAGAGATAATTTGAGTTGTATCTGTATTGCCTATTAGTCATTTTGATTTTCAGCATATTATAGTTCCCACCCCAGGATTTATAATTTAATTTTTTCTTTGACTTTGAGTACTGCAGAGACACCTCACGGACACCTTCCTGCTTTATCAATGATGTACAAGTATAATTACATGATGTAGCCAGTAAACATTGGCACGCTTGTACTTGCATGTTTTCAAAGTACACGATGTAACCAGTGAACATTGGCAGTGCACGCTTGTACTTACATGTTTTCAAAGTACACGATGTAACCAGTGAACATTCACGCTTGTACTTACATGCTTTCAAAGTAGGCCTACACGATGTAACCAGTGAACATTGGCACGCTTTTACTTGCATGTTTTCAAAGTGCATGATGCAACCAATGAACAATGGCACGTTTGTACTAGGACGGTTTGAAGTACATGATGTAAACCATGAACATTGGCACACTTGTAGGCCTACTTACAAGATACAAGTCAACTTTATTGTCAAAAAAAAATAAATTCTGAGATATTTTATGTAGGCCCCTACATAACATAGAATCGTTCATAAATGTGATAAATATCAATTAAAAATTCTCTAGTAAATAAAAAATTGAGTTTATGTAAGTTATAATCTTCTTAAATTTTGTTTAAATAAATTACAAGCAATTACTTGCGTGTTTTCAAAGTACATGATGTAACCAAAGAACATTGGCGCGCCTGTACTTGCATGTTTTCTACATTAAAATGTTAGCAGCAAAGTCTGTAGCTAATCACACGATGAAAACTTCAGGATGTTGGCATTTTCAACCAGCATTTGAACGATTAACTGGCAATAATCCTCTCAATAGTATAACACTCAAATATAGTCTTTAGGGTGAAATATCAATTCAGTATAAATGGGTAACATATGGTGCAGTGTACAATATATATAATTTGCAGCAAGTTCACTTTTTATGGTCATTGTTCGCTTAACTGAAGTACCCGGTTATTACATTACTTCCAACTATAAAGGCATTTTCATTTAATTGGAAACATGAATAGACAATTTAAAAACAATGGCACAGGAAAGCACACACTATTGGGAACAATGGAAATACACTTCAGTCGTGGACAATTTTTTTTTGGAAAATATCTCTAAAAGCCCTTGAATATAAAGTAGCAGCCATTTGTATATCGTCTTTATCCTGTGCACTTAACACAGGAAGTGAACGAGAACA